GGGCTCCCCACCGCGGAGCCGCAGCCCTGCCCGCAGCCGTACGCGGTCTCCAAACCCGTACGGGACCGACCGCACCTCTCCCTCGGGGGGCTGCTCGTCGCCTCCCGTCAACGGCCCGATCTCGCCCGAGGAGCCGTCGGAGCCGCCTGCGGGGGAGGCATCGGAGGGCCCGCACACTCCTGACGGGTCCCCGCCCGCGAGCGTTCGCAGCCGCTCGAGAGCGGAGCCCGCGTGCGACGAGGACTCTCCGACGGAGCTCGAGGACGTCGTGCTGAGTGCCCTCGCAGACTCCTCGATGGACCTCGAGCGCGTCGTGGCGGGCCTGAACCCCGAGGTCCTCCGCCGCCTGCAGGCGGCCTTCCCTCGCCGCTCGGGGGCCTCTCCGCCCGCCGCTCGCGCCTCGGTTCGCAGTCGCTCTCGGGGCCGCGGCACGCGTGTAGGCTCCGAGACTCCGCGGCCCGTGCCCCCGCCGCCGCCGCCGCCCCCTCACCACTCTGGTGGGCGTGCGGCGTCGCGATCCCGCGCGTCGACCGCAGGCCAGGGGCTTAGTCGGGCCGTCGCGCGCGGCTCCTCTCGCGCGCCTTCGCGTCAGGCGACGTCGCCTCGGCGTCGCGAGGTGCGCTCCCCTCGAGTCGCTCCGAAGCGGCGCCCGAGCCCCGCTACTGCGCAGCGGCCAGCCACGTCCCGCCATGGTGCGAGCTCGGGCGACGCCCACGCAGGCAGCTCCCGCGCGGACTCCGCTGCTCAGGCCCCTCAGTCTTCGGTAGGCACGCGCTCCTCCAGCGATGCTGTTGCGGCCCCGCAGGGCGGAGGGCGTGCCGCCGAGGAAAGGGGGTCTTCGAGCGGCCCCGCGCCTGGCCGAGATTCAGGGCACGAGCTGCATCCCAGCGGCTCCCACAGCGGCGACGCTGGGAGCGCCGCGGCTGCAGCCTTCGCAGCGCGGCGCACGGCCTCCGCGGCCGTTGAGCAGCCCTTGCCTCCAGGGGCCGCCACCGCCCTAGCGTGGCGTCTCAACCTCGGCGGTGAGAAGGTCACAGTGGTGAGGTGGGGACCCGCCTGGCAAGCTGCCTTCCAGAGCGCGGCGTCGTGGCTGAGGTCTTTCGCACCCGCAGGGGCCGCCGAGCCCGAGGGCAGAGATGACCTGCACTGCCTCCTGCAGGCCTTGCACGCCTATAAGCGCCTGTTTCAGACAGGCGGCGCCGAGCCGATCGACGAAGCCTCGTGGTTGCATCCTTACGTGGCCGCCGTCGAGCCCGAGGCTATCCCCGCGGGCGCTGACCTCCAAGCCATGGGGGCGGGCGCCATCCGTGGCATCGGGCTCGGCTCAAAGATCGAGCACAGGAGGCGCGCGGGCAAGTTGGCCTGCCTTTTCGACCTTCTGTACCACGTGCAGGACGGTCACGGCGCCATCCCAGCAGCGCTGTGGGGATCTCATTCCCCTCCGTCCGAGATCCTCGACGCGTTCGCGGAGGTGGTGCCCGTTCCACATCATTCGGGCCTCACGTCCTCGGCAGCTCGTTCCGAGCTCGCCGAATCGGCCGCAGCTGCGCGCGCCGAGCCGCGCCCGCCCTTTGACTGGGCGACCCTCGAGGGAGGGGGCGCTCTGCCCGCCGAGATCGAAGCAGGGGCTCGCCGTGCTCATGGGCGGATCCTTCACCTCGGCGCGGGCGATGCTGGCGGAGGCGTCGGGGTTCGAGACCGACGGGCGGGACACCCTCGTTCCGCCCTTCTACGCGTCCAGGAGCAGGAGGGCCGCCACGCTGATCAGCTCTCCCAGCCCTGGCCGCCCTGCGCTCATCCTGTGGTGCGTCTGCGGCCTCTGCATCTCTCTGGGAGCCGCGGCGCCGACCGCAGGCCAAGGGCTTAGTCGGGCTGCGCCTTCCGCGCCCGCTCGCCCTCCGCGCACTCCCTTCGTGCGCGATTCTCACCTCACCTCCGCGTATCTCGATCGTCGCTCGAGATCGATTGATGCGTTCGAACTGTGGTTAGCAGAACACACTGGCGTGCCGCCCGCCACTCTTTACCGTAGCGGGATACTTCTCGCCCGCTTCCTCGCGACCTTCGGCGTGTGGCTTCATGATGCAGGTTTCCCTCATTATATTCTGGTTCATGCCATCTTGGGAATCCAGAGCGCTCATCCGCATTGGAAGGCCTTTCTAACAGAAGCTTGGGACGTAGCGAAACAATGGAAGCTCGCGGAGCCGCCAAAGCTCCGCCCGCCCTTACCTCGCGCTCTGCTGCGCGCTATGGTCGGTCTCTGTTTCGCCTGGGACTGGCCTGTGATGGCGGCCTTGCTGCTCATGGGCTTTACGATGTTCCTCAGGCCTGGCGAGCTGCTGGCGTCACGCCGCTGTGACTTGTCGCTTCCTTGCGACCGCCTCGAAGTTGAAGGGGATGCTTTTCTTTCGATTCTTGTTCCCAAGACCAGGAGAACGTACCCGACGCAGCATGCTCGCTGCTCCGATCGGGGCACGGTGAAGATTCTGAATCAAGTGTTTGGGCGGTTGGCTTCCACCGATCCTCTCGCCCCTTTCGGTGCGAGCGGCTTCCGTACTCGGTGGAATCATTTGCTTTCGGCCCTGGGCGTCCCTCTTGCCAAAGCGGGTCAGGGGCTCAACCTGACGCCCGCATGTCTGCGGGGCTCTGGCGCAACAGACTTCTATATCGCTACGGAAGACGTCCCTCGCGTCTTCTGGCGGGGGCGTTGGCGTCAGGCTTCCAGTGCTGAGCGCTACCTGCAAGCCGCCGCCGCTTCCACAGTTCTTGCTGCGCTGCCCGTGCCCGCACGGGCGCGGATCCTGTTCTTCGCCACCGCCAGCGACCGCCTTGTCGCTTCATTTCTCCAAGTCGGCCCCGCCGCTTGGCCTGCCCTACTTGCGGCCGCCCGCCGAAACCTTGTCACTTCGCAAGGTCCTTGAGCACGGGTATGGCTGCCTCGCCGTCGTCGGCGAGCAGGCGGTCTCCCCCGCCTGACGCGCGGCGCCCCGGCACGAGCGCGCGGGGCGGGCCTGCCCATTTTGGGCCGCCCCGCGCGCGCGAGCCGCGGCCGCGCTCGGAGACAGCTCGCTAGCGCGCGAGCGGGAGAATGCCTCTTCTATTCTCTGTGAGCAAGCTCCTGCTGTCTCCGCAGCTTCTCTGCCCCCCTCCCTCCTCTCCCAATCTAAGGCTGATGGGCGCTGCCTCGCCGTCGTCGGCGAGCAGGCGGTCTCCCCCGCCTGACGCGCGGCGCCCCGGCACGAGCGCGCGGGACGGGCCTGCCCATTTTGGGCCGCCCCGCGCGCGCGAGCCGCGGCCGCGCTCGGAGACAGCTCGCTAGCGCGCGAGCGGGAGAATCCTCCTCCTCCTCCTCCTCCTCCTCCTCCTCCTCCTCCTGGTAGTCCTCCCCCTCCCCTCCTCCTCCTCCTCCTCCTCCTCCTCTTCCTCCTCCTCCTCCTCCTCCCCCCCCTCCTCATACTCCTCCTCCCCTCCCTCGCTCCTCCCTCCTCCTCCTCCTCTCCTCCTCCTCCTCCTCCTCCTCCCCTTCTCTTCCTCCTCCTCCTACCTCCTCCTCCTCCTCCTCCTCCTCTCCTCCTCCCCCTCTCCTCCTCCTCCTCCTCCTCCTCCTCCTCCTCCTCCTCCTCCTCTTCCTCCTCCTCCTCGGCGTCGGGGGGGCCAGGCAGGGCATCAGCCGTGCGGAGCTCCTCGCCCTGGTGGAGGCGGCGCGGAGGACGCCTGGCCGTGCCCTGGGCTTCATCACGGACAGCGCGTGCGTGGTCAAAGGATTCGCACGGCTGGGCAGGAGGCGCTGGACACCAGCTTCCCACGCGGACCTCTGGTGTGAATTGCGGGGGCTGCTGAAGGACCGAGACGTGGAGCTGGTGAAGGTTGAGAGCCAGGTTGAGAGCCACGCGGACCTCGACAAGTTGTCACCCCAGGACGCCGACTATGGAGCCCAGTGGAGCAATGCGGAGGCGGATAGGGTCGCGGGGGCGGCGGCCAGCCGTATCCAGCTGCCAGACTACGTCGCGGAGGAGATCCTGGAGATGGAGCGGGAGGCCGCAGACATTCGCAGAAGGCTGATCGCCACCATGCGGGCGGCGGCGGACGCGGATCACCGCGGCAAGCGGTGGGCGGAGCGACCGGAGCGGGCATGCAGGCCGCGACTCGACGTGGCCAAGGAGAGGGAGAGCAGCCGGCACGACGTAGGGAAGGGCTGGCGGTGTCGTTGTTGCGGGAGTCTGGCACCGAGCGGACGACGATCCCAGAAGAAAATCGTCGAACGGCTGCGGAGCGAGTGCGTGCCGCCCGAGGTGATTGCGGAGAACCTGCACGTGCCGCTGGAGGTGCCGGTGCGGGGCGGGAGGCTCCCTCACCCGTCCCATCCGCTCCGCTTCTGGGACGTTGGGTGCGGGGAGCGGGTCCTCGCATGTGCGGCCTGCGGCTGCTTGGGGACCGAGCACTGCCGGGGGCTTGCGCTGGAGTGCAAGACCCCGACCAAGGCGGGGAGGTGGAACCTGAGACGTCTGGAGCGGGGGCTCGCGCCGGGCCACTCGCGTGCGGCCGTGGCCGCAGACCAGGGCAGGAGCTGGCGGCAGCCGCGGTGAGGGCGCAGCCGAAACGCGGGCGCGGAAGGCGCTTCTCCTCCTCCCTCCTCTCCCCCCCCCTGTGGTCGACGGCCGGTGGCTGAGCAAAAAACTCCTCCTTCTCCTCCTCCTCCTCCTCCTCCTCCTCCTCCTCCGCATCCCCCCTCCTCCTCTTTTTCCTCCTCCTCCTCCCTCCTCCCTCTCCCTCCTCTCCTCCTCCTCCTTCCTCCTCCTCTCCTCCTCCTCCTCTCCTCCTCCTCCTCCCTCTCCGTCCTCCTCTCTCCTCCTCCTCCTCCTCCTCCTCCTCTCCTCCTCCTCCTTCCTCCTCCTCCCCCTCCTCCTCCTCCTCCTCTCCTCCTCCTCCTCCCCTCCTCCTCCTCCTCCTCCCCTCCTCCCCCTCCTCCTCCTCCTCCTCGATGTCAACCCGATCCTGCGTCGATGCCCGACGGCCGCGCGCCGAGCAGGGCACTCTCCGCGCGGCCGGCCGGCCCCCTCCCTCGGTCGGCCCCCGGAGGCGGCCTCCGGCGGCCCCCCGCGATGCCCGCCTGGCAGCCGGCCAAGCGCGCGCCGGGCAAGGCTCGCGGGGCGCGCGGGGTGCCCAGAGGTCCAACGTGTTGGAGAAGTTCTGCAAGCAGGTTTTTCTGTATTCCGAGGCCCCGATCTACAGTGCCGTTTTTAACACATGCTCCGCGTGCGGATCGTGTATTAAATCTAGGGTTTTCGTAGTAAAACCAACGATGAGTTCATGCAAACATTCATTCATACATTAGTAATGTACTATCAATCCGATGTTTTTAAAGTCATATGTATCAAACTGGGTAGTCGAAGGCCAGACTGTCAGATTGGATTGGGCCCCCAGGGCCAATCTGGCCCGGCCAAGCTGGAGGATTGGGGTTATTCGCCAGACTGGATTCGCGTTGGCTCCCTCGTCAGATTGCCCTCGTTTGCCAGATTGGGCCTGCCAGATTGGCGCCAGATTGGCTTCGACTACCCAGAATAGGGAGCCAGATGCGAACCCTACCCCCGCCCCCCACGATTTCTGAGGGGGAGGGTGGGGTTCACTTCGTTCGGGAGCTCCCGAGCGAAGTGAACCCCACCCTCCCCCTCATAAATCGTGGGGGTAGGGGTAGGGTTCGCACGTGGCCCCC